TGAAATCAAACTAATGGATAAATGTAGTGTTTGTGGTAAACAGCCACGGATCAGTAGCGGACTAGGGCTGTGACGGTGGCAGATTTTTACCACCGTGGTGGTAATGGACCAACTACCGCCGGTGGCGAGGTGTTCATATAAATATATACAGTATATATAGGCTATATATAATTAATAATAATTAAGCGCATGCTCTTCAAATGCACGCACAAAGGCGCCGGCGCGCGCTGTAGCCTGTATCCTTTCATATCAAAGCGCGCAATAAACAACGTGCATGCATGTGTGTGTGTGTGTGTGTGTGTACTTAACCATATTTTGGGGACAAATTTGTACCCAAAAGTGAGCAAAGCCTGACAAAATCGGCAAAAACCTCAATTTGTGGATGTCCTCATTTGTAAAACTGTTAAAATAAAGTAAACAAAGTTTTTTTTTTACTTTTGAAATTGTAAAAATGCTGAAAGTTTTCTGTGAGGGGTAGGGGTGGGTTTAGGTTAAAAAGTGTTTAACTATCTGTATATAAAAACAATAGAAGTCTATGTAATGTCCCCATTTCGATAGCTAAGCAAATGTTTGTGTGTGTGTGTGTAAAAATAGTATATCAGTCTGGCGAGAACACAAAAAAAATGTACTAGCCAATGGCGATTATATTGCCAAGGTGTGCGTAGAGGGTTGCCTTCTGAAGTTTATTCATCACATTAAGCCATTTTGCAATTCTGGTCTTTCCATCCCCAAATTTAATCATAATTAAGACTTTCTTGTACAATTTAAATTTGTATGGCCTTAAATGTGAGTCTTTTTAAGGACTCGCGGGTCCCTGTGTCTGTAGCACAAGCCTCATCCGCTCCTGTTAGTGTCGTTCACACTGGAAGCGCTCGATTCATCATGAGCTCACCTGACTGACTGTGTGCAGGCGTCTCTGAAGGACTTCTGGGTAATGAAGGAGCTGCTGTTTTCTGTTGTAATTCTGTTCCTGTCACTGGAAGAGTCATAAAAACACACGTTAGTTCAACCCTATAAAGCTGCTGTATCACACTCCATCTCCTCATGTCTTCTGTCGCCTGATTGAGAGTTAAGAGTGTTTTATCCAGTCGAAGCTCTTTTAGTGTAATTGCACAAACATCCAGCTTCAGCTGGAGCTTCTTGTGTCAAATCCTGACACAAGTAAGCGTCAGAATAACGTCAGTAATATCTCCAGATGAACACTTACTGGACTGAAGCAGCTCAGCTTTACTTGATTCTCCATCAATCATTTTTTGATCATCAGGATCTTTTGAGGAGCGTTTGTTTCCAGAAGCTTTACTTTCACGGTTTTATGTCAGTATCTGCTGTACTGTTACTCATTGATTTACATTAAAAGCAGCAGAATTTCATAATAGAAATATCTGCAGGAAGCATCTGCAGCAAATTCATATTTTTGTTCACTTTGAG